CTTTGGGTGTAAACCAGGACTACCTGTCCAGTCCTAGTGTTGACAGGGGTAGACATGCAGAATTGCTGGAGGAAGCATCAGGCCCCTGTTATTCAGACCTGCCTTTCTGCAGATAAAGCAGGCCCCAGGCAAGGACATGTGGGGTGGAGGAACAGGTGGAGAGCTGTCTGTTGCTATGGCAACAGAAGGAGCACTAACTCAACACAAGAGCCCTGCACATAGATCCGGGTACCATGAATCAGCAGCCAAGGTCACATAGCTCTCAAGGGGCAAAACCAGGATTCAAGTTTTGTACATCTGGGAGTTCAAAGGTTTCTTAGCATGGTCGCAGTTCTTCAAAAGCGTCTCTAGGGTTTGCTGAATGAGGGCTGCGCGTCTTCCACAGATAACCTGCTAGGCTCTATTAGAACAAAACCACTGAGCATTTGCTAGGGAATGTTGAGTGAAAGTAGCCTTCCAGAGCTCTTGATAGCTTCTACAGGTATTAAAAACATGTTGGCCAAGGAAACCAGGAGCTTTTTGTATTCAGATTGTTCATAGGCCTTTGACAAGCTTCCATGCCCTTCCCCTCCCCCCCCCATTTTCTCCATTCTTTGGGGAAAAAAGCAAACTTCTCACTGTGGCTTTGCAGGGTGGGGGAAAGGTGTGGGGGTGGGGAGGTGGACTGCTTTGTCATGCATATTTGCTGGGTGGGGGAAAGGACACTCCCTGAGGATGAGCAGGCTCTTGTCATGATGCAGAGCTGTGAAGGACTGGAATAGGAGGGCTCCTACTTTGTGTTTTTTTAAATTAAAGATCTAGAAGAGGAAGTACACAATAAAAATTTCCAGTCTGTAAAGACTTGGCGAATGAGAAGCCAAATGAGTGGAATTTGTGTATGCTCTTTGCTCTGGTTCCCAAATCATTGCTAATGATTAGTGCTTGGTGGTGTGTTTGCCACAGTAGCCCACAAGTGGCTTCATGCTCTTAACACATATCCATTGTGTGCCTGTTATGTGCCAGACATGTGCTGGACACAGGCACATATATGGTTTTATTCTGGGATATATTGGACTGGGGACATGACCCAAATGGTAGAGTGCCTGCTTAACAAGTTTGAGGATCTGAGTTAAAGCCCCAGTAAACCATGCCCCTCAAAAGTAGGATATATAATTCTGACATGTGCTCACTTTATTTACTGATAAAGTGTAGAAATCACTATGCGAAGAACCACTTCATTCTTTTCAATGTCCACACAGAGACATTTTCCATGAAATGACTGTGTACTGATCACTTCCCTCTTATTGGTCACATCTGTTTTTTCTTGAGTACAAATAATACAGTGGTGTAGCCTTAACTGATACTGGTCTGGACTGTTGTTCCTTGGGTTTGTGTCCTGGCACAGTCAATGAATGAAGGTGCCAGACAAGCAGTTAGGAGTTAAAGCAAGTTCATGCTACAGACCAGGAGTTAAGAGTAAAGCAAGCACAAAGTTTTTTGAAAAGGTAGCACAGCACCCTAAGGGGTGGAAGTCTAGCAGGTGACATAGAGCATTAACTAGCTTAGGTCCAACTATTCTACCTTGAAACCATATTTATGATTGGTTGGCGCTGAGTCAGCTTCTTGCTGAACTCAGCCACCTATCTGTCCCTCTCCTTACTGAACTGAGCTTTCCAAGAAGATCTGGTTAGCTTGCTCTGGCCTTGGGGTCCACGTCTTGCAGCTGCATTTTGTTATTTTGGTTAGTTGCTTGTTATTTTTGTGGGGAACTTATTGTTTCTCAAGTGCCTCTTTCATCTAAAATGGAGTCACCTCTGTCATTGCTCCCCTTATATAACCATCCTTATATTCAGCTATTTGGACTTAAGTATTTCTGAGGCTAGTCACCTAGAAGGAAAATTGCAGGATCAAAGGACATATCTATTAGGTTTCTTCATATAGATGCTGATGAATTGCCTGTAGAATATCGTTAGTTCTATTTTAATTACCTCCACAGTACCTGGCAATGTCTGCTTCCTTCACCCCATCAACATGGCATGTTATATTAGTTTCCTATTGATGGTGTGTGTAACAAACCACAATTTTGTGGTTTAAAATAACATAGATTGATTATCTTACCTTTTTATGAATTCCAGCATAGGTCTTTCTGGGTCAAAATTGCAGTGTGGACAAGGCTGTTTTCCTTTTGAGAGGCTCTCAGGGACAGTCTGTTCTTTAGACTGTGGCCTCTTCTATCTGCAAAGCCAGCGATGACCAGTGGAGCCTTTGTGACATCTCACTGACCCTTCTTCTATCCCCCTTTTTCATTTTTAAAGCCCCCTGTGATTACACCAGGAGCAGCTGGATAGCTCAAGATACTCTCCCCATCTTCAGGGAAGTGGTAAAGCATCCTTACTTCCATCTTTCCACGGAACTCAGCAGATCCATGAGTTCCAGAGAGTTGGATGCAGACATCTTGGTGACAGGGAACTGTTCTGCCTGCTACAGAGATCAGTCATTTACATTTTTTTCATTCTGTGTGATAAAAAATGATGTTCTGCTCTTCAAAACTGCACTTTCTTGACTATTGACCAGGTCAAATATCTTTTTCTACATCTTGAAGAGGCAAAAACATTTCTGCTACTATAAATTGTCTTTCTGTACCCTTTGTCTCCTTTTCTACCAGTCTGCTTGTTTCCTATTTTCTTTCCAATTGAATTATGAATTCCTTAAGGGCAGAGACCTTCTCACAGTCACCTTTGTGTCTTCATTGCCTCAAAATGTGCCTGTTGGCTCTTCCTCCCTCCTGAATGTCACCCCTCCCTCTCCATTCATCTCCATTCACTTGTTCTTCTGCTTTAGAAGAAACAGTCAGATGCTTCTGGCTGAACTGCCTGAGTTGAGTCTGTGTATGGGTGACATACACAGGCATGGCAGGCTGAGTGTCTTGTGATTTATAGTTGGCCATATCCACAGATCCAGCCAACCTCGGATTGAAAATATTTTTGTAAGCATTGCATCTGTATTGAGTATGCACAGGCTTTTTTCCCCTTGTCATCAATCCCTAAACAATACAGTAGCAGCAGTGGTTTGCACAGCGTTCACATTGCAGTAGGTATGGTAAGTAACCCAGAGATGACTTAGAGTATACAAGAGGATGTGCAGAGGACATATGCAAATTCTACATAAGGGTCTTGAACATCTGTGACTTGGCCATCTGGTTGGGGGATTGGTCCTGGACCCAATCCCCCGTGGATACCAAGGAATGACTACAGACGGGCTATACTTACAGCCTCATGGACTTTTTTGCCATTGTGGGATCCTGGGTTCAGCAAACTGAGAGGCCAGTGTCCAGCTCAGCCCTTCATTTGGGCTACCCCCTCATTGTCTGTTTCCTCACCAGTAAAAACATTGGTGGCCTGCCTCCTGACACTTCAGGGTTGCTGAATAGGTCACTGGCACAAAGGTATCCACTTCTGTGCTCGGGAGGGAGAGTCCTGGACTGAGCTGCCAGTACCCTGCAGTGTGATCACAGCTTCTGGGTCCGGCTGAGCAGGACTCTTGGGGAGAAGTGTGGGAGAGTAATTTAGGCCATTTTTGGGACGTCAGGCAATGGGATCTCCTTTGACTTTTTTTTTTTTTTTTTTTTGAGAAATCACAGTGAAGAGTTAAATTGCTTTTCTGTTACTCTGGGAGTTGGTCTGAAGCACCTGCCAAGCACAGAATCTGCTGTGTGATGGTGACTCATACATGCTTAGCATAGGCACCTTGACTCTGGTCTTTCTGTTATCCTTCAGAGGGGGCTGTGGGAAGACAGTGTCCGTGGCACTTGTGGTCTTCCTGGCTGGGTGAACAGAGCACAACCCAAACCCATATCTGAGGTGTGTCACACTAAGTACCAGGCTTGCAGCTGCCCTGAATCAAATACGCATCTTCTCAGATCCAGCAGAGTTGGCCAGGAGACACCCAGACCTGGACCAAGGACAGCCACTACTTCCTGACGATAATGTCCCCTTTCCTCGGTCACCTGGCTGGGGTCTCTCTGCTGACCCCCAGCCCACACATGCTCAGGGCCCCAGGTCTCTAGCTACCCAGAACACCAGGTCTCTGGGGACCCTTTCCCATATCTGATTGCCACATCTGGATCCTTGAGCGCCTCCATCTGAGGCTGTGGGTAGAAAGTGACCCTCTACTGTGAACTAACCTTATTCTTCTTGGAGAAACCCTGTGGCCTCCCTGAGCCTCCATTTTCAACTGGGATCTTGGGGAAGGCCGTCTTCTGCAAGGGGGTATCGCTGACTGGGATGTGGGCTGTCAAGCCTAGCGCAGTATTCTCCCTTAGAAGGGGGTCAATAAATGGTTGTCCTTGTCATTGTTTCCCCTCTGTCCTGCCCTCATTTCCCTGCTTTGAAGCTGCCAGCGCCTAGGTCTGGAGCATGACAATAGGTCTGACTCAGGGACAGACAGATGCCCTGCCTTCCCTCACGGAGTGGAGACAAGGCATCTAGGTTGGGAGGGCCAAAGCCTGGTCACCCAACTCTCTCTTCAGAGCTGGCAGCTGCCTATGCCTTTCTATGGTGAGCTCCCCGTGGACTGACTGTGGCCGCCAGGGCAGGTGGCTGGTGGGGCAGTGTCTGCAGTCTTCCCAGGCAGCGGAGCCTGCCGGGCCTGGCCTCCAGCCCTTCCTGTGCAGTCATGCAGGGCCTGGAACTCATTAGCGCCTTTTATTAAACCCATCTGCTCCATACTGAAGACCAGCCCCGAGGCCTTGCACTCCCCAAGATTCCACACAGGCAGCAATTGTGTGACTAGGGCATGGGATCCTTGAGGCCCTGGGGGAGCTTGAGAGGGCAGAGACACCTGCACTGTGGGTGACGCAGACACCAAACATCACCAGCCAGGCTGGTGTCAGGAGTGGCTGGGGTCTGCAGTCCTTTCCTGAGTGTCCTGGGCCCATGTTTTACCTGAACCTGGGATGAAACAGGGTTTGTCCTTCCAGCCCTGCATGTCATGCACAAAGCTGCCCTTCCGTCCCTCCCCAGGAATGCATCATTGATGAGGACTGTGGACCCACCAGGTACTGCCAGTTCGCCAGCTTCCAGTATACCTGCCAGCCATGCCGGAACCAGCAGATGGTGAGGCTGCCTAGGGTTCTCCAGGGCAGCAGTACTTGGGTCATGGGAACTGGAGGAGAAGGCCAGGGGCCCCAGGGGTTCTCAGCTGGAGTGCCTGGAGAAGCCCTTCAATGATGGGGAGGGGTCCCAAAGGAGCAGACTCCTGGAGTGACCAGGACGTCATCCTAGCCTGGGATGTCAGCAGGTCATCTGCAGATCTGCTGCCACCCCATGATATCTGGTCATATTATTTTCCTCATGGATGGCAGGGAAGGTGAAGGAGGGGAGAAAAGGAGGCCCTACACCAGGCTTTGCCTTTGTCCTAGAAGACACAAACCCTAGAACGCACAGCAGAGACAATGATCACCCCTCTCCTTCTGGGTCTGCAGTTCACCTCCCCAGGTCTTTCTCCCAGTCTTCCCTGTGAGAGGGTAGAGGGAGGAGCCAGGAGGTGGAGCAATCCCCCAATGCAGGTGTCACTGAGATGAAACATGAGGCCAGGGCAAAGGAAACCCTGCCCTCCATTCAGCTGGCCTTTTGGGCAAAGTCAAAAGGCTTTGGGACTCACAGCCTTTCTTGTCATTTCCGTTATTATGATTTAATAACCTAGTACTATAATAAGTTGGGAAAACAAAGGGACTCTTGTTACCCTGCTCGACCCATTTGTAGCATGGCAGCTGCTGGAATGCCTCCCGCATCTCCCCATGTCACTGGGGACTGCTGTGGGGACCTCACGTTGGTCTCTAACACCATTCCCTGAGTGGCTGTAGGTCCTCTGAACCCACATGCCATCCCATCCTGGGTCTTCCTGGCTCGGTCTTGACTTACTGGGTTATTAGAGTCATGCTTCTGTCTTTTTCTGTGACCTGAGCTACCTTCCTTTCTGACCTGGGTGTAATTGAAAGGGAGAACGTACAAGTCCTGGAAGAAACCCCAAAGATACCCCGGAAAGATTCAGACACCTGCCTCCCTGGGCACTGTTTTTCCAGTGCTTTGATTCCTCATGTCCTGATGGCCATATTCTTACCTTGGTCTCCTTGCCAGGTTACCACCTACGAACTCCCCTCCCACCTAGAAACCCAGTTTTCTCTCTACAATGGGAGACTGGAATGGCAGCATCTCTGGGCTGGGCTGGCCAGGCTTGTAGGTCCATGAGCAACGCGCCCTTATTTCTTCTGCCTCTCTGCAGCTCTGCACTCGGGACAGTGAGTGCTGTGGAGACCAACTGTGTGTCTGGGGTCACTGCACCAAAAAGGCCACCAGAGGTAGCAACGGGACCATCTGCGATAACCAGAGGGACTGCCTGCCTGGGCTGTGCTGTGCCTTCCAGAGAGGTAGGTGGCCCCTCTATGAGATGCAGAGGAAGTCTGTCCCACGCTCCAGCAAACTTACCTGCTGGGGCCACAGTCTGCTACCACCAGGTAGACAACTCTGTGCTCACAGTGTGCACACCCACCACCTCTGTCTAAATGGGAAGACTCTTTTTTTTTTGTCTTGCTCTGTCCATGTCTATGAAAAGTACATTCTTTCAGGAGGCGTGAGCCCAGGGCAGGAGAAACACCCTCAGATGCGTGGGGTTCCAACAACGCCTTTCCCACCCACTTACTTCTGAGGCTCCAAGGTAGCCTTGGCCCTGGGGCCTTCTTTCTGTGACTCCCCCTTCTACTCACGGCTTCCATTCTCACTGCCTCTTCCACTTGAAGGCAGCATATGCCCTCTTTGTTCCAAAAACTCCTCCCAAGCTCGGCCTTCCCCACTCCCCTGGTCCTCCCAGCACTTGCTCTCCCAGTGATTTTCCTGGATGGCAGCTGTTAGGGGCTTGTTTCCCCAGGACCCACAGCAGCTCCTGTTGTCTCCTGCTGGCAAGGTCACATTTGTCCCAGCTCCGCTGCCCTCCTTTTCCATCTACTAGTCAGCCCCAACTTTTTTGGCTGCACTGACCTCGGGCTTTTGCACGGCTTCAATGCCTCTGTTTCACTCTTTAATTTCTCCAGGCTTATTGGACCTCAAAACCCAGGCAGACCTCCCTAGCTGCTCTAGTTCTCACCATCCATTCCCTTCTGACTGCATTCTTCCATTCTTGTTCCTCTTTCTCCCGCTTCTTCAATCCTAACTTCACCTTGGGGATGAGGGAGGAAAGGGAGGCTGCACTCATTTCTCTGCCCTTCCCTATGGTGACTGACTCTGCTGGTTCCAGGCCTGCTATTTCCCGTGTGCACACCCTTGCCTGTGGAAGGTGAGCTCTGCCATGATCCTGCCAGCCGGCTGCTGGACCTCATCACCTGGGAGCTGGAGCCTGATGGAGCTTTGGGTCGATGTCCGTGTTCCAGTGGCCTCCTCTGCCAGCCACATAGGTGAGGCCCTTCCTGCTCTTCCTGCACCTGAAGTGCCATCCAATAGGTACTGAGGGTGGAGGAGTTCAGCCAGCATCAACTCTGTAGTTTGGGGCACTCTGAAGTACAGATCTGGGGCTCTTCTAAATGGTGATTGAAGCCTTCCAAGTGGCGGACCCAGGGAGAGGGTATGGAGGAAAAGAGTGAGGGATGAGGAAGACCCTAGGCCCATCACAGTGATGGACAAGCAGAGGAGAAGTTGCTGGCAGATAGGCAGGTGAGGAGTGGGTCTCCAAAGGGGAGGGTGCCAGCAGTGTCATAGGCTACTGGACCATGAACATGGGGCTCAGACCTGGCCAATATCTCCACACATCTTCCTGTCCTCCTAGTGCCTCTACTCAACCTCTGTCCCAGGAGATTCAAGGGTGGCCTGGCAGACAGAACTTCCCTTTCTCCTCTCCTCTCCTCCTCCCCAAGAGACCCAGCACCCCCATGTATGCAGTAGACCAGGGTGTGTGTGTGAGGCCCTAGACCGTGGTCCTCTCTCAAGCTGCCTCCTGACTGGAGCCCAAATGGGCAGGTGCTTGAGGGGGCACCATGTGGCCCTGGACTTCCAGGCCCCAGGGACCTAAGGACTTGTGTCTGGGCTGCTGAGCCGAGTCAGTCACCGTAAGTCAGGCCTGCAGCTGGCGTGGGGTTGCTGTCCTTTGCAGACATTGCCTCAGTCAACCTTCTTTCAGTAAGATGTTGACAGGAAGTGAAGCCTGTTGAGGTGTAAGAGGAGGTGGTATTCGGGTGAGACCAGAGGCCTCGTGCACAGGCATGCACGCCTAAAGCTACAGCTCTGCTTTGCCAAGACACACCCTGTCTTTCCCCAGCCACAGCCTAGTGTACGTGTGCAAGCCGGCCTTTGATGGCAGCCGCAACCAAGATGAGGAGAGCCTGATGCCCAGGGATGCCCTATCGAGTACGAAGATGGAGACATCATGGAGGCGGTACGCCAAGACCTGGAGGACCTGGAGAGGAGCCTGGCCCAGGAGATCATGGTCGGGGAGCCCACCACTGAGCTGCTAGGGGGAGATTTTTTAGACCCAGACCTGCACCGTGGGTAGATGTGCAATAGAAATGGCTAATTTATTTCCCCAGGTGTGTCCCCTAGGTGTGGGCTGGCTAAGCTTTCCACATGTCCCCTTTCAAGTAAGTTCTCCCTCCAGCTTGATAAAGTAAAGTACTATGTGTTTGTCCCAATGCCCGAGCTCCATGTACCACCGCTCTAGAGAGACAGAGTGTCGCAGGGGGAGGCCTGAGCCAAGCTGCCCCATGTCGTTGGCCCCTTTGCCTCTAGGATTGGCAGACCTTATATTTTGTTCTACATGGATTTGAGATGTGTTTGAAAGTAGGGGGTAAGGAGTGAGGTGGAGGCTGCGCACGATGAGTTTTGGGGAAATACAGAGAGGGTGCCTGCTTTGCAAATGTCATCCTGGCAGAATTGCAGCACCTGACATTTCCTGCTTCTTCCCATGGACAGAGGTGGCTGCTGCAGATGAGTTGTGCTGTGCACTTGCTTTTTCATGCTTTCACCCCCAGCTGTTTCACTCAGCTACCTCGCTGTCACGACAGCATGTCATATTCACCATCCGCTCACTCACCACGCCTGGGGAGGGGGCGCTTCTGTCTGATAAGGACCTTGGAGGCTCAGAGAACACAAGCTGCCCGCCCAAGTTACATAGCTAGTGAAGACCAGGTGAGTCACCCAGGTGTGACTCTAAGCTCAGTGTTTTCCATATATCCCACATTTGCTTCAGTGCCACCAACAGTACCCTCAAAACGAGGGAGAATGAAAGTTTTTCTTTTGAGGCATGCCTGGAATTGGGGTCAAACTACTTCCCGTAATCTTCTGAGATTAAGCTTCTATTACTAGAAAATAGCAGCGTGGGGTGGCCAGTATTCTCATGGATACCAATGGTGTGGACATCTCTCTCCCCTTTGACATTTGCATTAGTAACGTTGAAGGCATATGGTTGGAGCATAGTATAAAAGTTAACTTGCAGAAAACATGCTTGGGTAATTGTAAGGCCAGAATTATAGATGAAATTTGCAAAATCACTTAGCAGCAACTGAAGACCATTAGTCACCACATAGAAAGTGAAACCAAGCCAGACTATGAAATATGGCTGTAACATCCAAACCAAGAACCCTGCACTGGCTGTTGTCCCACGGAATATTTTCAGGTGCCAGACATTGTTTCCATTGTGTATTGGCCTAGAGTTATTAAAGTTGCACACAATTGTATAAGCATGCTTTCTTTGGGTTTTAAATCATGTATAAACACACGCTGTATTTAAAAATCAGGCATAAATCACTCGGATCACTCTCCTGTAGTTCTTGGACTTCCTTTCTCCTTCTGACTTTGAATAAATGTAAAACCCTTTCAGCCAGAAAAAAATAATAAAATAGAAATGACCAGTATTGTTAAAAATTTTTTTTTCCATAGAAGCAAATTTTCCAGACAGCTGAAGCACACCTCTTTTAGCATCAAAATATTTTAGAAATCTTAAAGCATTTTTTTTTTTGGCTGGAAATTGGTCTTAAGACTAAATATTTCACTGTCTCCAGAAAGAATAAATGGGATATATGAGTCGGGATCAAATGCAGTTCTGGGTCTCTTTCAGTCAGCTGTCACTATAACAAAATAGCTGAGATAATTAGCTTACAAAGAGAAAAGGTTTATTTTGGCTCACAGTTGGGAGGGTTTAGTCTATGATCTTGTTGCTTTGAATTTGTGGAAAGCAGCACCTAATGGTGGGAACATGTGGTTCAGCAAAGCTGCTCACTTCATGGCTGGAAAGCAAGAGAAAGGGGACAAGACTGGAGTCCCCCACATTCCCTTTAAAAGGATGCTTCCCTTCTCCAGCAACCGAGGCCCCACCTCCAAAAGCATCATCCTGGAGACCAAGCCTTTAATACATGGACCTTTGAGTTTGCAGGACACTTAACCCAAGTCATAGCAGAGCCATCACACAGTAAAACCTTTAGGAACTATAGTAAAGAGGTTACTATATTTAGGTCACCAGGGCGGTAGATACCAGATAGGGCTGTCCACCTATATTACTCATTTCATCTTCACTGAGTTCTATCAGTATTTTCTTAACCAAACAGATGAAGAAATGGAGGTGCCAAAAATGATTAAGTGATAGAGCTGTAAGTCAGATAAAAATTGCATCTAGTACAGTAGGCTGTCCAGGATATGCTGATTATTTTAAGGTCAAATATAGAGCCGATCTCTATCCAGTGTCAAAAATCAACGGAACGACTCTCCATATTTACATACTGAACAGGTATGTGCTGGCAGCCTGCTCGGAACCAGGTGCTGTGGAGGTGACAAGTTTGCCCAGATAGAGTCCCTGCCCCAAACACATCGCTGTCTTAAGAGAGAGATACAGCTAAACCAAGCAATGGCACAAAAACAGTCAACTCAATACCAGAATGTGGCAGGAGCCCCCATGCAGGGCTTGGCTTGGAGAGGTGGCATGGGAACTGGCTCCCAAAGATGACAGGAAGTTTCTCAGGGAGCCAAAGGGTATAAAAAGGCATTCTGGGCCATGGGTAGAAGGAAGGAGGGAGACAAGGTGGAGTGTCTTACAGGGGAAACTGCAAGTGATTTTCACTGGCTGGAAGGTGAGGTAAGCTTGGGGAAGTGTTTGGAGAAGAGGCTGAAAATTATTTCAACCCACAAAAAAATGTGTTGAGCACCCACCCTGTGTCACGCCCTGTACTACGTGCCACAAAGATGGTGGTAATAAAACTAGATTCCTCTACTGGAGTTTATATGCTGGTGATTATCCTGCTGTACTTTATCAAGCCACCAAAAAATGACAGCACGAGAGACTGCATAATATATAGCTGAAATCCACATCTCACATAGGTGGGGAGTCACAATCCTAAGTGGAATGTGGGAAGGGTTTGAATGGAGTGTGGCTCTTGACTCCCTCTTCTGCTCTCCTCCTGGATCTCCAGTTTCTACCAATGAAGCATGGCAGATATGGACAGTTTGGCTGATTGACAGCTATTCTTAGGTAAGGGTGGCCCACAGGACCCACTTCTGGGTGAGGAAATGTAAGGGCAAAGCTGCCAAAGAGCTTCTAGGAAAGCTTGTCCCCTCTGACTGACAAAAGGAAAATGGCCAACAAGGAGAGCTTCTGCCTTCCACCCCCTTCCCTTGTTCCCAGCCTTTGAGTACAGGTACTCAGGGAGTGGTGCTAGGTTCTATAGCAACCAAATGGAGATCCTGGGATCAGTAGGGCTGCATTCCTCCTTGGAGGCTCTAGGGGCGTATTCATTTCCTTGCCTTTTTTAGTCTCTAAGGTGGTTTACATTCCTTAGCTCATGGCCTTCTTCAAAGCCAGATTGAATCCATCCTTCTCAAGTGTTGACCCTTTAATTTTCGCTCTGCATTGAATGGTTCTCCAATTTTAAGGATGCACGTAATTAGATTGAGCCCACCTGAACAATCCAGAATAACTATGCCAAAGCCCTTAGTCTTAATCACATCCACAGTCTGCTTGCCATGTAAAGTAAACATTCACAGGACCTAGGGTTTAGGCCACAGACATCTTTGGGAGATCATAATTCTGTCTACCACACAGGCTGAGAATTTTGAGTTCTGGAAGTTGAGGAGGAAACCAATCCTGGTTGCAACAATCTCTGGACACCTTTTAGAGTAAACCACCAATGTTATTATAAAGCTGCTGTTGGCCTGTCATTTAAAGCCAAAAGCATGCCTAATTTGACACAGGAGCTATTTGTATGATACACAACAGCTAGAACAAAGTCCCACTGGCTGTGTTCTTTGGGCTCTCCACACAGCTGGGAGAAAGGGAAGCGAAGTAGGAGAACGAGAGTGAAGAGAGAAGAGAGATGGGAGAGGAGAGGGCAGGATGAGAAAAGGGGCAAGTATTCCCATGATCTACCTCCTCTCCAGAGTGTCAAGAAATGCAGCTAACTTGCTGTGAGATTTGACTGTCAGAGAGCCAACAGCTGGGAAGCTGGGGAGCTGTCACTCGGGGCTGCTGACCTGGTGTAAAGACACCTAGAATGGGGTATGAGTGTCCTTTTGGGAGGGTGCAGTGTTTGGCAAGCAGATCATTCCCCTTCCTGAACTTCCCAGGAGAGAAGAAATTACTTATTCCCTTGGCTGAAACCTAGAGAAACACTCAAAAACTTTACATGGGAGCTACTGACAATTCAAAGGGTGAAGCACACTCATCCTGTATAGGAGGGGAGGAGCACCAGTCAGATCCACAGCCAAGAGGAGAGGAAGGACGGACCACCTCTTTGAGTCTTCAGTGGCTCCTGAGAGGGAAAGATGAATTATGACAGCACCACAACCCAAAGATAGGGGCACGGAAGAAAGATGAAAACCAGGGTCAGAGACTTGGGGGACCAGTACAGCACGATGTGGCTGATACACAGGAAAGTCTGTTGCTAGGAGGTTGACAAAAGATGCAGTCACGTTCCAAAAGGGACAAGTTCTAGCAGTGCTGTTTGGAGTAGAGTTCCGTGCTGATAGGACCTGTGGGGCATCTATCTGCAAAAGCCAACAGTGCCCAGGCAAGAGGGGACAGTGACCTCACCACCACCAACAGGAGACTGCTAGTACATACAGATACCTCTTCCCCATCTTTCTTATCTCTTCTGTCATCAGAAGTGCTGCTGGGTGAGGGACAGACCACACACACCTGCCTCCCCTCTCCCTACAGGGTGTATGTAGCGCAGCCAGCCGGTACTGTGGGGTTGCATGGAGCTTTGAATGAAAAGACAGAAACTTTAAGATCAGGTCCTTTTAATAATGCAAAGCGACTTAAGAGTTACAGGACTGCAGTGAGCTTGATGACAAGTCATTTCCCTGCAGGAAACTGTATTAGAACACAGTTGGTACAGTTACTGGAAAAACCAACTTGGGGAGGTAACTCTTTTATTGGCGGGGGGGTTGAGACAGTGTCTTGCTCTATATATAGCCTATACTCCCCCATATATAGTATATATATATATATATATATCTATATATATATATAGTATGGGGGGAGGAGACAAGCTGGTGGATTTTGGGGAGGTACAGAAAACAGAAAGGAGGTGCTGTCCACCAATAATTTGGGACTGGGATTGAGGCATGGCTCAAGTGGTAGAAGGGTGGGGGGTGGAACAGAAAACAGAAAAAAGGTGCTCTCCACTAATAATTTGGGGTTGGAGCTGGGGCTCAAGTGGTAGATCACTTGTCTACCAAGTATAAACCCCTGACTTTAATCTCTAGTACCACTCAAAATAGTAATGATTCCAATAGTAGTACTACTGCTAATATGGGACTGGTGAATTCTTGGTTGCAACCAGTCAAGATCACCTTCTTTTGCATGGATTAGCAGCTGAGGGGTGGAAAGAGGCAGTGCTGTCATGGGGAAGGAGCAGAGCACTCCTCCCAACACTTGTGGTTCAAGTGTGGCCCCTACGAATAGCCTGACCTTTCTAAATGGTCACACACACTTTGATGCATTCTTGAGTTCATCATATGTTCTTGATTGTTTCTGAAAGCCAAACTGTGAAAAACAACACTGGATCTAACCAAAATTGGCCTGTCTCTTTCCCCCTGTGAACCACACTTACGGAGCATCTTGATTTCACACACTGAACCTAGGTGGCCAAGAGCTTCTCTGAGCCATACACTCCTTTGAAAATCCAGTACAAACCATCTACTAGTGCCCTCAAAAATCACACACACATACTTTTGCATTTGGTTTCCAGATTTATAGCATTCTGATAAGGCTTTTGACTACTGGTGATGAAAATATCGATTTGTTTTTCAAAAATTACACAATTATTTGGATTGAATAGATTTATTTAGCAAACAAAACCTTGCTAATTAAGTATCTCCCATTCCATGTACTGCTCTCTAGACTACAATTTGGAAGTCACAAGTGCAAGAGTTGGTTAGGGCCTTGACGCTGAACGAAGGGACAAAATCCAGAGGAAGAACTACAGTATCCAATCAAAAAGGAAATACTAGCGAATGAACCAGAACAAACGATTTTATTGTGTTCCATACATTCACAGATCACTTCCAGATTCAGTAACAAAACTGCAATGCTGTGATGTGTGTACTCGTTCAGCTTAGACCCCATTGGAAGGCTACAGCTCTTTCCTGCTCTCTTGGCCTACTGGCACACACCACCACCACTCCTAACACAGTGGCTGACAACCAATGGCTCTTTTGATTATTTCCTAGCTAGAACATAGATTCCCCTCATCTTCTCCTAACTGTAAAATAGTTTCCATTACAAGAGATAAACAGGGATCTTTCATGTACTATTTTTGTCTATCATGACTACTGTCCTTACATATACCTTCTCAGTTTGAGAAGTGGATCTTCAACTAGCAAGTGTTTGTATACATAAGCTAAACAGCTCGTTTCTTTGGCCAGAAAGGTACCTCTTGCCTTGG